TGCATCAGTTTCAGATGTGGTCAGACCATCAACCTCTGTGATATATGGACATAGTTTTTCCTTTGAAGCTCTGCAGAGATTTATCATCACACTGTAACACCGTCAGACTCATGATGCAGCAGCACCAGAGATATCATTTCTTTTATCTCATCTTCTTCTTTCTTTGCAGTTGTGTTTTATCATCCAACCTGTGAAAGCAGCTCCTGTTGAACGTGGTCTTTAAATGCAGATGTATTGATATAATAACCTGCCTCAGATCAGGAGGCGGTGATCAGTCGTTCTCAGATGAAAGACTTCCTGGAAGTGTTTAAGATGCCATCTTGTTTCCTGCAGATAACTGAAGCAGGACCCAGGAGAGGGGACATGCTCACACACTTCATTGACTCTTTGTTGTGATGACCACTGATAGTGCTGCATCAGCTTCCTACAGTAGATAATATTGATCTGTAGTTAACATGACACAGTGTCTGCCTGGGCTAAGTGAAGTGATAAACTTGTCGTGTTGTACCACTGTAGAGTTACTTGACAGGGTTCCAATTATGAGGGGGGTCTGACCTCACTGATTAAGGGATTAATGTAAAAACAACAGTTCTTCCTATCTGTAATTGTAAATATTACAATATAGTTTCCATATTCATGCCTGGAAGAATCTTGTAATACGATTTCAGACACCCCTAAAGTGGACTGTACCATTTCTTAACGTTGCCATCAGATGAATGTCTCCTCTGCCTGCCTTACTCAACTCAACTGACAGTTGCTAGCATCTCTGCTCCTGTGTGTTGCACAGGCAAATTGAGACACAGTAGGAAAATGAAGCAGCAGCTAACTATCTAGCTTGTTTTATACACTTTACTTTCTTACCTTCAGAGTTTTGTATCTACAGATGAACTCTGTTAGCAAGTTTCTAACTTTAGCCTTATATTACAGTTTAGCTAACTAATGTTAGCTAGCTGATAGCGTGCCCTTTAATTTCCAGTGTTAACTTGTCATTTCATTACCAGTATAAAATGTCATATATCATCTAATGTTAGCAAACACTGGTGCTCAGTCATGAGCAGTGAGACAATGGAGGATTAGCTGTTGTAGAGATACGTTTTGACATCAATATAGAGTTTATGATTCCATGTTAATAGTCCCCTTTGTTTTCACTCAGGAATTCAGGAGTTTTACCTGTTGGGTCATTGAACAATATGAAAATCCATGTGTGCTGAAGGCTCAGTAATTGTATTAGTAGTGGTGGAAAGTAATTAAGTACATTTACTCCAACTACTGTGCTTAAGTACAATTTTGAGGTACTTGTACTCTACTTGAGTATTTCCATTTGATGGAACTTTATACTTCCACTCCTACATTTATTTGACAGCTTTAGTTAATCAAGTAAGATACTGCACGGACTAACACTTCAGTTCACTGAGGCGTGAGTCTGTACGGTACTGGGCTCCTTCTCGCCCTGCAGAAAAAGTCAACTCCCCCGATTGTCAGTGTATAATTCACACTCTGGTCTCTGCATTTCACTCTACTATAACATAAGTGATTTTTCCCACAGGATAAGAGTTTAAACATCTGCTCATGTTGACTGAATCAATAAAGGCCTATATATCATCACAGTGTATTCCTGCTCTACTCAACATGATCGCCAATGACCCAGATGATGACACACTTCAATAGTTTCCAGCTGAGATGCTGCATTATAATTCGTGGAGGTCCAGATTATGACTGGGAGCCAGTGCCAGGCTCTCCTCTGGTCTTCTCCCCTGGACAGGAACCACAGAGAGCCGAGACCACACGGTCTTTATTTATCACTGGTCCGCTACACAGACTTAATCCCTCATACAGAGCCTGGTGGAAAGCCTCATTCCAGAGCTGACAAAAACCTCCCCCACACTGTTAATGCTGCTCTCACTCCCATTCCTCTGGACGCTGCCCGTCCCATCTCTTTCAGACTGTCAGCATCGTGGTGTAGTCGAGGGTGAAAGCCCCCAACATGATTCACGTGCCTTTATATTTTAGGATTATTACGCTTTATAGCGTCATGGTCTCACACAGGTCATCTGAAAGGAGCAAAGTTAAGTGTAGATACAGTAAAAGTTTATTTATGTAGCACCTTTCCAACGAACAATCACAAAGCGTTTTACATCACTATAAAGGTAAAAAAAAGTTCAAGAAATATGAATCTCTTAAAACTATATGCAAGCTGGCACTAGCATGAGACTGGAAATCAAACCACTTGGCTCCTCCCACCCGTTCCACTCCTTGCTCCGCCCAGCCCTTCACCTGTCAAAGCTGATGCATGGATGTCAGTCGTAGTAACGTCTTCCAGCAGCTAAAACACAGCTAAAAGTCTTGGTGTGAGAGGAGGAGTAGCCCTGAAGTGCATGAGTGTATTGATTGGCAGTCGTAGGCTCCCGCCCCTTACTTTGGTGTTGACTGTTTCCTCGTTAATTATGATTAAGTATCATTTTTGGTGCATTCAATGGCATATTAATTTATTGACTCACTTATTTATTTATTTATTTTGGCAGCTTCAATCCTCCACAGTTTTGCCTCAGTCTGGAGTCACTGAACACGGTGGAACACATGGTTTCTGATGACGACACACATCTGAACATGTGCTTGTGTTTATGCTTAGGGCTGTTTGCATTAAGAGACCAAACTCACTGTAACACACACTAACATCAGCATCCCCTCCTCCTGTCTCCTACTCTTTGTTTGGTCTGTCTCCTCCTTTGATCATATATCATGTGATGAAGCACGATTACATTTCAGAAACAACAGAAACACGAGCCTCTGATTTGTCTTTGTGGTTTGACACAGAACACAACAAGAGGAGGAGGGGAATGAGGAGAGGAGGAAGGAGTGAGGAGAGGAGAGGAGGACAGGAGGAGAAAAGAAAGGAGGACAGGAGGAGAGGAGCAGGACAGAAACACAGGAGGAGAGGAGAGGAGGACAGGAAAACAGGAGGACTCTCTGTTGCCAGAGTTTCATTAAACATCAGACATACACTCAGCATCAGAGGCAACACACACACACACACACACACACACACAAGGAATTCCATTGAAACTTAAATAATTTATTTACCACTAGAGCACCACAACAATACTGTGTTACAATACAGCATAGTGGGTCACAATAACATCATCATCATCATCATTATCATCATTATCATCATCATCATCATCATCATCATCATCATTATCAAAACAACAACAAATACACATCATAAAAATAACAGCTCTATCGTGACAGAGTCGGTGCCTCGCTCTCTCTCCTGCTCTTCAGTAAGTCCACTGGCACTGAACGCCCACAGGGGCCGGGTCCGGGCGCCTACATCAACACTGCTTACTTTATAGGGGGGTGGGGGGGTTTATTTGTGGGTGAGGGGAGGGGAGGGGGGGGTCAGACTAACTAAGAAAACTAGAAAACTTTAAAATAGAAAATTAAAACAGCATCAGTGCAATTTGTATTTCATTAAAGAAAGAGAGATAATGACTGACAGAGCGTTGGCAGGTTTGAGGGGTGAAACTAAAGTTTAGTGTTGGCAGCAAGACGACACACTGATGACACCACAGCACACTGCACTGCTACAGAGCTATCTCCTCTTCATTAACACCTTCGTTATCTCTCGTCACTCTAATCTCCAGCAGTACCCCCGACCCCTCCCCACCCCCCCCCCCCCCCCCCCACCCCCCCCAACCCAGCATTGCTCCATAATCACTTACCAAAGACCACATCTCCTTCATCTACAGACCACAAACCCTGCAGCTGGTGCGGACTGAGCCTGAGGCCGTGCTGGGAGCAGCAGAGCCTCCGTCAGCTCTGAGCACAGCCAGAACACAGTGAGTGAAGGAGCTCTCCTCACAGCAGACTCTGAACCTCCGTCACATTAAAGATCAGTCTGCTTTATTAATGCATGTCTGTAGTCTTCTCTTGGTTAAATATTCAGTCTGAACGATCTGTTGTCTGAACCTGGTGCATGTTGATTAAATGATGGGACGAGTGAAGTGAGGAAGAGTAAACCTCTGACGAAGGTGCAGCAGAGGAGGTGTAGTGACATCACCTCTACAACACACTGTAGGATGAACTGGGTCCCTTCAAACTCATTGGTGAAGAAGGGACAGGTGACACACGGTGATGTCACCACAGCAAAGCCTGATGGGAAACAAACCAACACTTCTACAAAGATACTCTGTAACAAAAGATGACGCATTACCAGCAGCGCCAATGGTTAAGAAATGATATACACTTCCTGTCTCCAAAGTGGGCGTGGTTGTTATTGTGTGTTGACGTCAAAACATAACAACAATACAACACTAAATACAGTTTGAATTTACGCCCGATTTTGCTGCTCATTTTTATGTGCTGGCTTGTATCTGATCAACCCAGTACAAGATCATATCAGTCAACGATATTCTCTGTTTTCCCTCCAAAAACAGTTAAATAATATTAATATTAATACTAATATTAAGCAAATTCTATTTCAGTTTTAACTTTTAATCCATGGTTGCACGTATAGGTCCCTCTGAACATCTGCAGCTGGAAAGTGATGTCAGCAGCAGTGGAACCAGAATCGACAGAGAGAGGAGAGATCTGTGCTGCGAGCTCTCGCGAGAGTTTGTTGCTGGGACAGACACAGGTATTGAATACAGTTTTAAATTGTAATTCATGGTGTCACGTATAGGTCCGTCTAAACTTCTGTGGGTGGAAAGCGTCTGCAGCTCAACTGCAGCAGTGAAACCAGAACCAGAACCAACAGATCTGTGCTGCCAGATCTCGCGAGAGTTTGTTGAGACAAAGTTAATTTTCTTCTGATCTGTCTGAAAAATGACTTTTTTTTATTGTCAGAATGTTTGGAAGATCTGTGGCTTGTGAAAAATGTATCCAATATTTATCTCAGTGAGGTGAAAGAATCATAATCTGTTCACTTCTCCCATTGGAGTGAACAGACTCAGACCTGCGACCTGGAGGTGGAGAAACCCACGTCACACAGTCACAGGAAGTGATTGTCAGTGCACCGTCTCCTTTCTCGATTGTCTCTGACTTGATCCAGATCATTTCAACAAGGAGGTTAAACTGAAAGTGAGCCCACATGAAGAGTTGCTGATAATCCCTACACAGCTCCAGTTAATACAACAGGTCAGAACCGCGCCTGAAACAAAGATCCATCATCTACGCCTTCTCAGGTGTGATCTCTGCTGTTTGGTCCGACACATCTGGTCTCTTCTGTCCAGCTGCTGATGTTTTAAATCATCTCACATCTTACTTTTTTTTTTTTTTTAAAGATGTACATTCTTTATCTTTATTCTCACCTCATTAAACTGATGATAAGACCATAAATAATAAAGCAGAGTGATCCTCTCAGGAGCTCCCATGTGAATCATTTAGTCGTTTCATGTATTTTCTAAATGATTCTCCAACATGTGTTACGGTTCGTAACATGGAGTAGCTGTGGTATCGTCAGCGTGAGGTTGATACTGACCCGGGGGTTAAATATAAACATGAACCTTCAACAGGACGGAATGAAAAGATGAAGAAAATGACGGGAGACAAAACACAGACAAACACAGAGATGACTAGGAGGTGGTGTGACTGAAGACTGTGAAGGGGTGGGGGGTG